CGAGATGCATCCGACACACACGCAAACATACACAAACCTCCTCCGAGGCATTTCCCATAGAGGCCCTTAAGAAGCGGCAACTACTGTTCTATGATCAAAGGCTGTGAAACAAGAGGATTAACACACACACACACACACACACACACACACACACACACACTTTTGAGCAAATCTGTCCACACACCGAGGACAAAAGCGATGCATAACATCCAAGAGTGAGCACAACAGAAACAGAGGCAGTTCCCCATGCAAAACATACGCAAGAATAGCTCATGATTCGCATTAAATTAATTAAAGACATAGAAATGCCTGTAATTTCTTGGGCGAAATGTCACGGGATCAGAGACGGGGTTCAGTTTTAAGTCTGATCCTTCACTCCAGCACCAGATCAATATCCTATTTGCCCGATCTCAGAGTCCAGTTTACGGCTGACAGTAGGGACAAGCAGTCAAGCAAACATCCAAACATCCCGAGAGACTGACGCAAACGCACCTTCCAGTCTCGACAGGAAGATAACCAGAGAGAACGATTAAAGTTTAAAGAAGTGGCACGACACAACTGCTGCTTATTGGTCAGCTCTGTCTCTCCATTTCTGGCTTTTTTTTGTTAAAGATTTTTTTAAAAGTCTGTTAAATTCWAATTTCCACCCTGACCTCTCCCCACCAAGTACATAATTGCCTCCCGCAGACGAAAATATCACATGCAAGACAAAGTGTTCTTACCATTCATGGCTGCAGGTGGAGAGCACGGGCGGAGAGGTGAGTCCTCTACTCAGCTGGCTAGCTCTCAGACATCTGCAGAGAAAGAGAGAGGGAGGAAGACGTGAGTATGTGTGTGTGTGTGTGTGTGTGTGTGTGTGTGTGTGTGTGTGTGTGTGTGTGTGTGTGCAGCGGCGTATATGTGAGGAACGCAAGCATGCGTGTGTGAGTAAGAAAGAGAATGGAAACAATATAAATGCGGGCAAGAGGGGGAATAATTTCATCCCCCGGTTAAAAATGCAAGGGAGGCACAGTGAACGGCTAACACGGCGAGGGATGACAGAGCGATAGAGGGACAGAGGAGGGGAAATAGAGAGAGAGAGAGAGAGAGAGAGAGAGAGAGAGGAGGGGGGACAAAATGACAGAGAGAGAGGAGGGAGAGGGAGGATGAGGAGAAAAGAAGGAAGACAATGCTACCGGGGAGAAGTAGGCAAGAGGACAGGCAGCTGAAGGATACAGAGGAAGGAAGAATGATGGTGGTCTGAGAAGAGAGGGAGCATCTGTCGTTGTCTGCTCTCGCATCACAGATGGCGGCTTTTTGCAAATATAAGAGTATCTTTATATCTGCAGTGGTTTTAGTGGTTTTCTTCAATTGCCACTGAGTCACAGTTTAGCACTTATTGGGAATATGTATTTGAATATAAAGATACATATTTGTCTTGACAGGAATTTAAACATTTGTCTTTTTTTCCAATACAAATATTTGTTTTATCAGGATTGGAAATATTTCTCTCATTAGGAATATACATATTTGTCTTATTAGGACTGAAACCTGCATTATTCGAAGTATAAGAATTTCTTTAATTAGGAATATGAATATTTCCTGTTTTAGTAGTATAAACATTTACATTATTAGGAATGTATGCATCTTCCTTGTTGTGAAAACACATTTGTTTTATTAGGAATATAAATATTAGTCTTTTTGGGGTGATACATATTTGTCCTAATAGGAGCATCTATATAGGAGCCTCTCATCAAGGGTATTTCTGATTAAGTTGAAAGATAAAACATGGATGTATTGAGTGCAGTTTGCATCCACTGTTGTCATCAGTGGGCATGGAGCCTGGCCCACCTGATGAGATATTCCTCTGTGGGATCTCTGGCAGAGACCCAGCAGGTAGAGGGGACAAATGAGCCCATGCAGGTAATACTCTTAAATTGGAAAATGAGCTCTGTGTGCACGGGCTTTCATTTCTCAGCGTTACGGCATGCCCTGCCACATAAAATATCCAGGTCTAGTCTATTGTTCCTCTTGCCATTTATCCTTTTCCTTTGCTATGCCGTTGTTGCCAAATCATTTTTCAGTCCAATTACTCCAGCATTACACACCCCATATTCTCGATCATTTGTGTTTCCTCCATCTTCAAATTGAAATTTATAGAGGCAGTTTCCCTCCTTTTTCATCCCAAACTGAGTTCCCCATTCCCTTAATCTAGCCACCCCTTCAATCCTGTTCTTTAGATTCTATTAGTCCCTCCACTCAGACCTAACCCTTTATTTCCTCTTGTTTCATCCATCTATCTACAAGCATATAGCTAAGGAGCAAGCTCTCTCATCAGCTGTGATTCCTGTCAGGTCGAAGCAATCTCCTCTCCGCCTCCACACTTTTTTTTTTATTTTTTTTTTACCTCACTTCACTTTCCTTTTCATTTCTGTTCCCCTACTTCTTAATCATGTCTCACTCGAACATGCATCCCCTCTTATATGACTCCCACCAAATTTATTTCATCCCTCTCCTCTCCTTCTGCTCTTGTTACACTATTGCTCCATCATCGGCTTCCCTTCTTTGCGTGTGAATTCCTGGAGGGGGAGCTGAGGTTGTTGTAGTATAAATCATTCTCTGCACATGCCGGCACTGCCAATTACTTAAGAGCAATGAACTGTGGCGTATGCCTCCGCACACACAGGCAAACAATACTGGCATTCCAAGTACAAAGAAAACAACATGACTCCATCCAGGGAAATACAAACAAAAATGTTTGGACAATACAAAAAAAGCAGTTGCTCTGAGAAAATCTTGGTAATACTAATAAATGAACACTTAAGGCTAACTGTGAGTAGCCATCTTAGTTTGTCACTGCATGATGAACTGGGATTTTAGACACAGTATCCACCCATAGCTCTTAGAAACCACTAAACTAGCTAGCATCACTAGCTAGTATCAAACTAGCTAGCATCACTAGCTAGTTTCAAACTAGCTAGCATCACTAGCTAGTTTCAAACTAGCTCGTATCACTAGCTAGTTTCAAAATGTATAAATCTTCCCAGTTCACATAATTATTAAACACAAATGTATTAAGTGTCAGGTTAGATTTGTTACATTCTACATTATCTCTTTTCCTCTGCGCTCTAAACAGGTCATATGTTTGCTTTGTCAGTTACCTCAGGCCAACCCAGAAGTTAGCATAGCCAATAAGGTTTATCCATTGGATTTTGGATTATTGCAGAAAATAATCTCTCTGGCAAACACAAGTTTATGATACTGACACGTTTTATTCAGCAAGATAATCTTCAGAAATGAACACCACTTAATTGATTTTTGAAGCGTGAATGCACTCGGCAGAAGTAAAAAGCTAACGTTAGGCTTTAAACAAACTATACATCGCATGAGCGTAAGTATGCACAACAAGGCCGTAAAGGTGGACTATTCAGTCGTTTTTTAGTCTCATTGTTATCAATCTGAAGACAGGTAGCTTCAAAATTCACGAGGGGTGTTTACTGACATATCTTATATCGTAGAACAAAACTTTTATATCTCTTAAGCTTGTGTTATCCATAGACCTTATTTTGAACGTCCAAACAAAAACCCATTGAAAAAAACAGACTTTGAGACTATAGCGAACCGAAAGTGCAGTTAGTAGGACTCATTCCTGCAACACTTACACCTGGCTGTCTTGGTGTCCAGTGTTATTAAATATGAATGTTTATGTAAAATAGGTTTGTGTACTGTAACCTGTTGAAAGAAATAATTCGAGGGGGCTAAAATGAAGCTGCGTTACAGTAGTAACTCACCGTGCGTTATGTATTAAAGCTTCACAGTGTTTCAACTGACATGAGGCAAAGTAGATAATACCAGAATAATCATTACTAGGTAAAACATTCATTTATAAAACTACAAAAGCATTCTCTTAATGGGCCCCTGAGCTATGTGGGTGTATGTCTGTGTAAATACTGTATGTGTGCGCCTTAAACTCGCTTATGTAAACACTTTTCATGATGGTATTTAGCAGACTCCCATCCGTCCTCACACACACACAAACACTTTGGTACCCTGAGGTGTGTGTGGTTTAAAACAAGATATTATCTATCGCCTATTGGCCCTATTAGAAAGCCGTCTCTGTTCAAACGGGACACATCCTGGATTAAAGCAACACAGAATCAACACGAGGCTCAGAGGACACCCTCTACATCAACACTGACAGCACCTTCAGAGGCTCACGAATTGATGTCTCCATCTGTCATCCCTAAATACCCGTGAGCACTTTAGAAATGTGTGCATTTAAAAAAAAAAAAACCTGATTTACCTTTTGGCTCAGTCCGTGTTGATGTGACTGATGTTACGTTACAGAGACATATCACGTTATCTCACAGTGATGATTTAAATGTCGCTTCAAGTCTCGTCCATTTCCTGGCAAAGGTCTTAAAGAAACCTTACAAACGACGACAAAAAAACCCTGGTCTGTTCAAAACAAACTAATCCCTGTGTTCATGTAATGTAACTTGGCCTGTGATTATTGACACGTTTTGTTTTTTGGAAGGGTGGAAGGATATACAGCAACATTTCTTGAATATGTTTTCATAAAGACACCATCTCATCCATGCTTTCATTTACAAAACTAGTCTTGACCCAAGACCCACTGACTTTTTCTGCAGCTTAAAACCCGGGTATCGCATGACAGAAGTTCCATGCTTTGACTACGTGATTAAGGCTTGATTAACTATTGGCCAAGGGATATTTGGGGCCACAGACTCACAGGGGTACACTGCATGTCAAGTGGTTAGTTAATATTGAAGAACAGCTTGTAAAGAGTCCCTGCGTCTAGTATTATGATCTTTTATTATCAAGAAAGGCTGCGGCCTCGGCAGTAACAGGAGTACTGTGTGCACGGAGACCTTGAATGCGACAGGGAACATACACAGTGTTTGGGGGGGGGGTGACCAATAGGGATCCACACCAAAATGTCTGCCCTGTAGGCCTCCTGACAGGTTAATCTGGTCATGCACGTGATGGCAACTGAATCAAACAAACATTGGGTTAAAATGATTGTGTCAACATCAAACACTAAGGCCTGTAACACTAAGTATTATGCTTCTTGTGTGGGCACATGTCAGAATTGATGGTATATTGACGTTTAAAAATTCTAGCACTTGAAAAGTTTTTCATTTGGGGGAACAGCGTGAGTCAACTTTAAAAAGGGCCAGGCGTTTGCTGATCCACTGCACTGAGGGAGGGAAAAATGAGTCAAAGAACCTTTGACTCTGCCCTGAAATGCTGATTGACACCTGTGTGCGGCGCACTGGAGCGCTCGGATGTGCATATCAATGCGTCGGCCTGTGTGCACGAGTGTGTTCGACACACACTCCACAAACAGAGGGGGACCCTGTTCAGGCAGACACAGCCCAGGAAGCTTTGCTGAGCCCGGGGAAGAAAGAGGCCTGTGTGTGTGTGTGTGTGTGTGCTAGTATTTTCTGCCTGTTCACAAGAGCACAGAAACACACAAAGACATCCACACACACGTTCCTCTGCTGTGCTGCAGGTGAAAAATCGGGAAGTGGAAGAAATCCGTCTTATATTTATCATCCCTTTGATACATTTGTGGGTCAGCTTGAGTAATGATTCACCGAAGCCTCTTTTTTTACTTCCTTTAAACTCCCAACACTTCAAACATACACTCAACAGCATGCCCCACCTCAGCTTCTTACCTAAACAACCCTTTGGCACAAGATTTCTTCTCTCGAGTTAAAGTATAATACCAAAATGTCTTCAATAAAGCATTGGCATTCTCGCTTACTGCGTCTGTCATGTGTAACTGGACCCTGAAAGTCTGCATTTACGCTCCAACATTCAATGCAACAATGAATGTATGTACAATATGCATGTATGCTTGTGTGCATTTATGTGCATGTGTGCGTTATGCAGTGCATCTTTTCTTGGCGGGTGGATGTGCAGCGGCCCCCTGCTGGGATGAGGCCAGATGTCATTTGGGAAGTGCAGTTTAGATGGACTTTGCCACTTCAGCAAAGAAAGGTCTCCTCTTTGTGTTTCCAACCGAGAGCAGCAGAACACACACACACCCACACAAACAAACGCACGCACCCTTTAATCTCTATAATTAGTCTATGCTGCAGTGAATGAACACGAGCGCGGATGGACTGCTGCACCTGCCTCAACATCTCCTTATTGATGAATGGAAAACTGCAGTGACGTGAAACAACGCAAACGTCTGATAACATCTTTCCATTTCAAATGCTTTACAGACACTCACTCCTCTCTGGGGAGCTCCAGAGACGTCCTGGTGGACATATTATTATTATTGGGCTGGATTTTTTTGGGACACTGAATGTTTCGGGAGCATTGTGTCATTTGTCTCTGTGAATGGTAACTTTACTTCAGGGAAAAAGATGTGAATAACCTCTGGATTTATGTTTCCTGGCATGAAACAATAAAGCCAGTGTACATGGCCCATAGCATATTTGTGCCAGGTAATATGCTGTATGGATAATACATATACATAAGAAACATTCATCACACCACACTAGATATACTGTCACTGACTGACAACATTCTTGACAACATAGAGGCAATTTGCAGCCGACAGCCCTTATTTTGGTGATTTTAAAAAGATTTGTCTTGAAATGTGATTTTAGCACATCTGTTGAAATACATTCAAGCATTTATTCCGGTCTAATTGTAGCCACTGACAGGCGTTTTCAGCCATATGGAGTGTTCCTAATCTTAAAACGCAGACAAAAAGCCATCACTGAGGGTTTAGTGTAGTGACAGGTGTCAGGAATTCACATTTTTTAGGGTAGACAAAAAATGTATCACCTCAAGGCTACAGTGTTAATACGCTACACTGCCTCGGCTGTTAAAATTAGGATTATTAAAGCAGGATATCTTCCATTACCTTCTATGAAGAGGTAAAACAAACAACAAAAAGGGCAACAGCGATGGTGTCCAGTAGTGTTACATCTGTCCGGTCCCGATGAATGCATTAAAAATGATTTCTTGTCATTTACCTGTTGCGGTTGAACTGCGGTGGTGATCCGACATCCAGGCAGGAAAAATTAGCTACTGAAGAGGGAGGAACCGACCCAGCGGCCGGGGTGGGTGTGGACTGGAAATGGGCGTCTCCAGAGAGTCAAGCCCCACAGATATCAGACTTCCGGTAATGGCTTTCACAATAAAACTACTTGACCCTCATGATATGACATTTTGGTAAAAACAACAAAAACACTCAAACCACACCTTTATCAAATATACTAATTCATTTATTCACGCATATACTTTCCTGGACTCAATGCTTCTCCCCTTTTCAATGTGTTTCAGTGAGTCAAAGTCATTATCTTGTTGGATGTTTACCCCTGGAAGACATTTAAAAACAAACATTGGTGATTTCCCATTTATAGTGTTTATTTCGGATAGCTGGAGAGATGGGAAATTCTTATTTTTCATGTCTGTTGAGAGCCATTCTGTCATGTTTATCTTGCCTCGAGCATTTGAAAGGTTTCTGTACATCCTACCTCCCCTGCACACGCTTAAAAAAATAGGAGTAGACCATCGAGTGTATATCTGAGTTTGTATGCATGTGGTGGACTCAGTTTATATATTTTACTTTGCTTTATTTTAAGTGTGGAATCAAATAAACTAAATTAAAAACTGCTTTTTAAGAAAGTAATTGTTGATTAATGTCAAAGCTCAGCAGGTCACGAGGCTAAGTGTGTTGTAATGTCTGACTGACTACACTGCCACATGTGTCCACATGGCTTAATTGGATCAAACCAAAAACTTGCTGTATAGTGTCCACTTTAAAAATCCCCTTTCACTTACACTGTTGGGCACTTTAAGACTTTTACTTTTTTTTTTTCAATATTACTGTTAAACCTGTGTGTTTCATTCACACTCATTACTGAGACGAACACGAGTACTAAAAGGCCTAAAGTCAAAGTTGTACAA